GGGATTTGTGTGGATTAACCAGCAGATTTGCCCCCGTGTGATAACATAGTGTATGTATGTGCCTTCAAGTTGCCTGTTGACTTATGGCAACCCCATTAATTTCACAGGGTTTTTAAAGGCAACAGATACTCAGAAATGGTTTTATCAGTTCCTTCCTCTGAAATTTCACCTACAGCACCTAGTATTCATAGGAAATCTCCCATCCAAGTACTAAACAGAGCTCCAATACTGAGCTCCCAAGATCGGACAGGAACTGATGCCTTTAGGGTGTTTAGTTCACACTTACCCTATTAACATAAAATCCAAATGCATCTGAGGAAATAGGCTGACGTCTACAAAAGCTCATTCATTCTACCAGCTTCGGTCTTTCAGTTAGTCTCAAGGGTGCTAGAAGATCCCTTTGCTAACATCCAAACCACTCATTGCAGTGATGTCTTTATTAGGCAAAGGAGAAGGCACAGCATTAGTTTTGCAGCTCCTGTTTGGTCTGTAAAAGGAAATGAAAAATATGATGTTATACAACAAAAGCAAGCCATTACGCAGCACAATACCGAGTAGCGTCAACTATGTCCAGATTCAAATTCCTAGTCGGCTATGATGCTCAGGTGAGTGGCAATGAACCAGGTACTACAACTTTCCTCATAGGATTGTTGTGACAATAAAGGAGTAAAGCCATTTATGGTTCCCTGAGGTTCTTAAAAGAAAGGTGGGATCAAAATGGGATGAATGAATGATCAAACTTTACAGGGCTGTTTCCCAAAATGTCTCCAAAATATGATACACTGAAACACACTTATTTACAATCATTTTGGTTCTCTTGTGCTCTGGCCTGCTACTCCCACACCTTTCATAGAAAATTATTACAGAGAGGTGAAATCAGGTGAAACTTTGGGGGTTTGCAGACTGCCAGAAATAGTGTGAATTGAGTCCACTTCTAGGGTTAGGGTTAGGGTTAGGGAATCATGGGAACTGTATTTTATTGTGGCACCAGAGCTCTCTAACAGAGAAGGCTCAATGTCTCAGAAAAAAACAACAATTCCCATGATTCCCTAGCACTAACCCTAACCCTAAAAGTGGACTCAATTTGCACTATTTCTGGCAGTCTGCAACACCCCCTTTATCATCTTTTTTTATTGAATTTATTGTATAAATCAAGATAAAGAACATGGAAACGGTCCAAATAAAATATAGCAAGTACGAAACGGTAAGTACAACTGGATATCATTCGTCTTGAAGAGGTGGTGAGGTTTGGACTTTTTCCATTTAATGAAGATGGTTTGAAACTTTATCATCTTGTGCTAGGAAATATTTCAGTACTTACCAAATAGCTGGGTAGCGAAGAATAAAAACAAAAAAAATGGCTTCTTAACAAGTAGAAGAGGAACAGGGAGCCAGTGTGGCGTAGTGGCTTGAGTGCTGGACTATGACTATGGAGACCAGGGTTCGATTGTCGGCTTGACCATGAAAGCCACTGGATGACCTTGGGCAAGTCACACTCTCTCAGCCTCAAAAGGATGGCAGTGGCAAACCCATTCTGAAGAAACTTGACCAAAAACAAACAAACAAACAAACAAAACACCCCACCCTAGGAGAGGGTCAACATACAAGTCCGAAAACCACTTGACGGCACCCAAATGCCCACAGAGCCCTGTCACAGCGACACCCTCCAAAGTGGGCCCCACCTTTACACAACCTCCGTCCGCCTCGCCCCTTTTAAGAGGCGTCCATCTTGAGGGCCGGCGGTGGAACGGCCTCCGCGTTCAAAAAAAACAAACCGAAACCCCCC